TCACCTTCAAAATAAAAGCTTCAAGCTGGTAAAAGATGACAGTGCCCACTAAGAAAACAATTGCTTGTGCTTTATTTTGAAATGTGTAAACTGTTTTTTTCCCCCACTCACTCTTGTCGGAACATTCAAGCGATAGAGAGCTAGTTTGCTGGACCGGTCCACCATCGTCGGGTTAAATTAAAATAGTTATTGATTTCGGATGCTGAGACATCTAAAAACTGAAGAGGGTGTGTAAATAAAACGCCCCAACAATTAAAAGCCTGCAGCCAAACGAGGTAAGTTAGCAAAAGACTAGTGAAAAGCTTATATTGTGATGAATTTTCCAGCCATATTGCCCAGCTCTATCAGCTACAACCAGAGCAGATTCTGGCTGAATATCTACAAAACGGAATGAATTATAAAGTTTTTTCTGCTTGCTAAGGTTTGAATGCTGCAGAATCTGGTTGACTTTGGTAAAACTTTGATTTTAGAGTTTAATCTGGATGGTTAAAGTCTTTAATTCAGACCATTAATGAGAAAAACCTACACCTGTGGATTAAATACACAGTACTGTAGGAATCTACAGCAAGTGTTCTTCCAGCTGTGAGAATCTGCTTCATGAGCAGAGTCTTCGAGGATCTGAGGACCCCCTTAAAAGTCTTCATGCAAGCAGTGGGGATTAAACCAGAGGCTCAATGAATCTCCTAAAGGTCAGTGCTTTTATTGCATTTCACTCAGCCTTGAGYTTGAATAATCAGTCCTCACCAAGCTCACCCCTCTGCCTCAACAAAACCAATCAGGAGCTGCACGGGAGGCTGCCACTAACAGAGAGGAGGATGGAAGTGCTGCAGTCTTCTCAGACCTGCTGCTGCCTCCTCTCACCTCTGCCATCGCCGCCACGGAGGGGGTTTCAGCTTGTGGCGCCAGCTCCTCGCTCACGCTGATCCTTGACGAGCTGTGCCGGGTGTGGTGCTGAGCTGAATTAATTAAAGGGTGAGAAAGCCGAGGTGGCTGAGCCCCGAGAGCAATCTGGCGTTCGACGCAGATCGAGAGCAAAACGGGTCTTTGAGGACCTAAAGCTCGGCGGGTGCCCGGGACCCTCYATCATGTCATCATTTGGTCAGATGAAGTGCTGATTAGCTGCTTTAACGACTCCGTGAAGTCACATCGATGTGACTCTGAAGAGTTGGTCTGAGCCTTTAGAAACCTTTGTGTTGTGATGTGTTGTGAGTACCTTTCAGCTGCTAACACACCAAAWTTTAGCTCAACATCTGTAAAACCAGAGGTGTAAAGTAACTAAGTACAAATACTTTGTTACTGTACTTAAGTAGAAATTTTGGCTATCTGTACTTTACTTGAGTAAATTTTTTTCAGCCAACTTTTTACTTCTACTCCTTACATTTTTACACAATTATCTGTACTTTCTACTCCCTACATTTTTAAAAAAGGTAAGAAGTAGAAAGTCATTACTACTATTTCATTCTAGCTCAGATAAATAAATAAATAAATTATATCTCGATAAACTGTGCCTTTGAATTTAATTGTGGTTGGATAAGAAGTATAAATATAAACCATTCTGACACATATCAGTTTGTACACAACCCATCAAAGCTGCACGCCTTTAAAAAATGTATTTGGAAAATCTAACCTCTCATTTTTACTCAATACTTTTACTTTAACACTTAAGTACATTTTATGTCAGAAATTTACTTTTGATACTTAAGTACAAAATAAATCAGATACTTTAAGACTTTTACTCAAGTAATATTCTTAGAGGAGACTAAATTTTACCAAAGTAATTTTATGATAAGGTACTTGTACTTTTACTCAAGTATCACTTTGTGGAACTTTATACAACACTGTGTAAAACTAACAGACTTATACCCATTTTTAGCTGYCCTCTAGTCGTAGGTGCGCATCCAGTGATTACTTTAAGGATTTCAATAACATCTATCCAAACACACAAAGACAGATGCAAAAACATCATAATATAATATAATGTAATAATATATATCATATATAATGTTGTAATGTATAATTATAATGCTATTTTGGATATTGTGGGCATAGAAAAATATGTTTAAATGCTTTAAATTCCCAAAAAACAAACTTCATGTTTCTCTTCTTGTAATTTAGAAACATTAATATCTCTGAACGTCTCAGTCTGCAATAARTGGTCAGCCTGATGGTTCAAAATTGAATCTTTGCTGACCATTTTTTGTTTTAGAAGCGTGCAAAAAAAACAACAACAGCATGAAAGTGAATTACATGTTTTTGTCATATCTTAATGGAAGAACAGCCAGCATGACAAACAAGTCATCTGAGGACAGCTCAGGACAGTYTTTCTTTTTTTGGATCAACCTTCAGGTATGGATTTTTACCACAGACAAAATATGACATAATAACAATGATGTAACACATGCTTAAAGTTTTAAAAATCCTCAAGTCCTAATTTCTGATCTAAAAATAAAAKGCAGCCCCTCCCACCACCCCAAAGGCACAAAAAATAAAAACAAAGCTGTAATACATCAAGCCAGATAATGACGTGCGACAAAGAGACCTGTTTTTGTGTCAGCCATAGAATAAAAATAGTCCAAATGAAACAGCGGAGCACAACATTAATCAAGCTATTCTTGGCTGTCAWCAGCAGAGGAGCGCACACACAGGTGTTTACAGGTTCACATACAAAGTGAGGCTCCAAAATATTCACTTCGACTTCCACAGCTGAGAGCAAAMCCACCAAATCAGACTGCCACTAAACATTACAGGAAAAAGAAAGACGGCTCAACTGAGAAATCAAGAGATAAACACTAGTTTGAGGCTTGTTCTGAATTTCAATTTCTGAGCTGCACCCTTCAAAAACAGCCTCTTTAAATCCTTTTTGCAGCAGCTGAAATGAGAGGAAAATGATGTGATGTTTTCCTTTGAAACCCAGAGTTTGGATGACCCTTGAGAGACTATTAATCATTCTTCATGACGCAAAAAAAAAAAAAAAAGTCCCTGTGGCAAACTGGAAACAGTTTTTGATCTGAGGTTTGCTGCCCCCTAGTGGCCACTTACTGAATCAAGCATCTTCACACCCACACTTAAGAGTCCYTGTGGAGGCTGCTCTGATTACTGACCGAGGCTTGGACGTCAATATTTCATTTCATACTTTGAAATCCAATCCAGCTTTAGATGCGCCTTTTATAGCAAACCCACAACTTCCTGATTATGGCGGCAGAAGGTACATGACACAGACTCATAAAGCAGCTAATGGGGAGACATTCTCTGGATGTCGGGGATGAGTGTGGAAGGAAACGATTAGTGGTAGAAGAGATGAAGATGGACAGAGCTGACCACAGCTGTTCTGTATGCAGTCAGTTAGGCTGGACTGTAGCGACTGCAACAAATGAAAACAGAATTTGTTCTTTACGTTTCTGCTCAGATTTAGAAGGTAGATGATCGAGTAAATGACACGGCTCTGCAGGCAGCAAACTAATGATGCTAAGCCAAACTGGGAAAACTGTTTTTTAGCTGAATGACTTTGCTGAAAATGACTAAAACTGTAGAAGCAGAGTTGTTAAAACTAAAAGAAGCAGAACACTAGCAACATAAAAAAAAAACACCAGCTAAAATTTAAAGGATGCAAAACACTAGCTAAAGACTGAAAGGAGGAAAAAGACAGCTTAAAAATAAGACAAAACACTAGCTAAAAGCTAAAGCAAGCAAAATGCTACCTAAAAGCCCAAAGTAGGAAATGGCTAGCTAAAAGCTAAAAGAAGCAGAAAAAATAGCTACGTGACAAAATGTAAGCTAAAAGCAGAAAAATGTTAGCTGGCAGAATGTTTGCTAGCAAAAAGCTGAAACATGCATAATGCTACCTAAAAGCTGAATGAAGCAGAAAATTAGCTAAATGAAAAAAGGCAAGAACAGCAAAATGTTAGCTAAAAGAATGTTTGCTAAAAGAAGAAGAGTTAATGTAGCAAAATGCAACTTATAGCCAGTCTTTAGTTACTTTTAGCTTTTAGCCAGCCTTATGATAATTTTAGCTTACCTCTAGCTACCTTTAGCTTTTAAACTAATAAGATTGAACTAAAATTTGTTTCTTTTTACTGGATATTTGGTACTTCTATCTTTTAGCTAGCATTTAGCTTTATTTAGCTGTAATCAGGGTTCCCACACCTTGGTCAACATCAAATTCAAGGAACTTTCTAGGACTTTCCAGTACCAACTTCCTCAAATAAAAGAACCACGCGCAATGGCAATTACCTACTGCTACCGCAGAATGTTACCAATAAACAKGTTTAATATCATGTAAATTAAATGAAAAAATGAACAACATGGAAGTTGTTCAGTCAGAAACAATGGCGTCAAATTACCGTAATCCTGAGTTATCCACCGCAACAAATGTACGTGTTTTTTTTTTAAATTTTAAAACTTTTTTTTTAAAGATGATGAAAATCAGTCGTGTGAATAGAGAATTTCAATCCCCAAAAAACATTCAAGGACTTTCGAGGACAAGTGTAATTTTTGGCTGTTTTCAAAAACTTTCCAGGGCCTTGAAATATTTTTTTCAAATTCTCAAACTTCAAGGATTTCAAGGACCCATGGGAACCCTGTGTAATAAGTGTTTTCCTTTTTTTAAGCATTCAGCTACTGTTCTGCTTCTTTCAGCTTTATCAAGTCAGTTTTAGTTTCAGAGTCATTCAGCACTCACGCTGTAATTTGGCAGGAAATGCAATTTCTCTAGTCTCATTTTCTTAATTTTAAATAAATCTTTTTCTATATATTTGGACATGCAGACAGTCAGTTTCTATAAAAAGGTAAAGAAATAAACAGATTTAAATTAGTGAGCTGGAGTCTGATTTTATCACTTTAGTGGTACAGTGAAGCATTAAGGGAAGCTGCGTTTGTATAATAAAACCTTGTGGGAGGACAGTTACAAGAAAAGACATTCAGGACAAAGATGTGCCAGATTCAGCCCACGTTTCTGTTGTCGGTGTTTGTTCCCCCCCACCCACCCACTACAGGGTCTCTACCTGTGAGCTTCTTCATGGGCTGCAGCCTGACGCCGATGCTCTGGTGGGTGAGCAGCGGGGAGGAGGGCAGAGAGCGCGACACGCCCTCCATCATGCGAATGTGCTGCATGCCCTCGGTCATGGAGAGCGGGGGCACGGCGTAGTCTCCCTCAAAGGCACAGTCGCTGTCTATGCTGCCACCTGCAGGACAGGAGGAGACACAAGGAGGTGGTAGGTGAATTCAACTTTGAAAGGAGCATTAAGAAAATCATAAATCTGTAATGCTGTAAGTGGGGAAAGGAAGGAAAATCCCTGCTTTAAAATAGATGTCCAGAACTAATCGATATAGAATAAATTTAACAGACAGAACATATTAAATTAGATTTTGAGAAGACACCAAAAATGTTAGTAAAAACAGGTGTATCGAACATAAATACAAGATGTCCCTGGAATCGGTACATCTGTGTCGAGCAGTCCAGAATTGACCTAAAAGCCAGAGCAGCCCTGAAGGCAACACGTGTCGTTTACATTCACTGGTGCAAACAAACATCAGCCTGTGTGACGTCTAATCCCATACTCAAACAATGCCCTGCAATCTCCYCATAATAAAAGAGTTTCCAACCACTTGAAACGAATTCAGGATACGAGGAGCTTCTCACAACGAGCAGTAATAACACAGACACAGAATAAACAGCCTCCATTTTTAATCATCTTCATCTTCCGCTCTTGCTATAAACAGCTTAAATTATAATTTAGGATGTTTGGAATTTCTACACATTCGTAATAAACTGTACTCTCAGCCACTACCACACTAAACTAAAGCTCATTTTCTGTAAAACTGACTAAGTTGCAGCTCTCTACTACTTCTAGAGTAGACTGAAGGAACCTGTCCAATCTTTATTTAGTGGGCTGTATTTTATTCAACTTTATGGCAAAAGACTGAAAATGAAGTTATAGTTCCAGGGAGGCAAGTGTATAAATTTTATATTCTTGTAATTTTGTCTGTAAATCTCTATTACTCTCTGAGGGAAACAGGCCGTGAACAACAGAGCGAAATGTTTGCAGTATATTTTGTACGCAATTATAATCTCATGTTTCTTTCCTTTTTTTTTTTGGCGCTCCTTGTGTGCGTTTTGAGCTGAGCACCTTGATGAGTAGGTGTTTGTGCTTATTTCGAGGCATGGAGTGGTCCTTGTGCACGTCTCCTCTCGCAGTCTAAAATAAAACACCATAATTTCCCCTTCAGCGCTTTTGTTCTCAGGATTTCACAGCTGAAATGCGGCTGGTGTTCCCTCTCCACCCTTCTAGTCTTTGCCCTGAATCAGACCTTTCTGTAGCTTATACACAGTTTCAACATATCTTACTGAGTGGCTGCATGACTGTACCCAGAACTGAAATTCACCACAGACTGCAAAGACAACGTTTTTCCTCAAGTTTTGCTGTACCATTAGTAACACCTCCTGAACCAAAGAATTGATTTTATTAAAACTTTAAAGAAAGTAATCTCTAAGTGCATAACTACAACTAATTAACTTAACTAATCAGCACAAACTGACTCAAAAGTGGTACTAACCGATCAGTCTCAAGACCACTTACTAGGTCTCAGACATTGAGGACTCAGGATCTTATTGCCAGTTAAGACCACAACTGTGGAAGTATTGCTAAATTGCCAGAATATTGTCCAGTTTGTTGTTAACATCCTTGTTTTCATTGGTTGTAAAATGCACTGATTCAAATCCGAGCGTGACTCATTGCTAATTATGTATTTTTGTTACCGCTGTCACCCATCCCCACCCACTTTCACTCGTATACGGCACTCCAAGAAAGTGAGCAGTGGTTGTCTGGGAGCGGGAGAAGATGTCTGCAAAATCTTCAGTAATACAAATCGGCTACTTAAATCTTAAAGAATACATTTGTTTTATTGTCACTTCGAAAAGAAGCACAAAGAAAGGTAAGCTATGTGGGATGTTAGCAAAATTAGCTAGCTAACATTAGCAATTTGCCACGGTGCCAAATTTCTTTACCTAGCGCTCACACCAAGAGATTTAGTCAAAAGTAGCTGTACAGATTAAGTTGTCTTCCTGTATGTTTTAGGGAACTAGCTTCTATTTTTGTTTGTTTGTTTTGGTCTTGACCTCCCTCCATCTTGCTCCCATCTTAAGGCTGGTTTATACTTCGAGTCGCACGTCTTGTTCCTACGGAAGCTGAGAGTGGCTGTTTTCTGAATTTAATTATTTTCAAAGGGTTTCTTGTGATAACCATTTATTATGTTGTTATCACGGAATAACGACGAGCGTTTTCTTGAGATAACGAGTTCATTTCCAAATGGTTTCCCTCTTGTGCTTCGTTCAGCAACCATGGAGACGACCTGGTCCCCTCAGCTGGTCATCGATGAAGTTTACTATTTATTTGTTAAAGACAACCTAGTGTACATAATTTTGTGCAATTTTTATATCATTACACAGGCTGAAATTGCGATTTGTTTGTCTTGTACAGATAACTTTCATTTCAGCCCTCATCATTTAAGGAGACGGCTGGCCCGACTGGAGATCGGCAGGCGTTTACGCAGTGATCCTGCTGATATAACATAATCTGTGACATAGGCTGTGTCCGAAACGGCAGGCCGGGTCCTCCGAAGGCCGAATTTGTTGGCCGCATACGTCACAGCGCCGCGACGAAGGCCGTCCAAAACCGAAGACTCCTCCGATGCGACCGACAAATACGTCCTTCATTTGGCCCGAATCGAAGGACTGGTCTGATGGATCCTTCCCGGCCCAGCATATCCCATAATGCATTGCGGCCCGACCAGAGATTTTTTTTTTATGCTAGTAATGGCGGACGAAGCGAGAGAAAAGAATACTTTTTAAATAAAAATATGGTGATATAAAAATTAAAAACATTTAGCGGTTGTAATTCTAATACTTTTATCATTTGTATGGACATGTTTTTAAATATTATTTTTGTCATAAAAAAACGCAAAATAAACATGCACCTACAGCGGATCAATTAGTTCTTCAAATGATACTTTTAAGTTAATTTTATAGTTTTGTGATATTAATAACGCTAATGTATTGATATTTTTCTAATTTTGATTTAAGTTTGCTTGTTTAGCGTCGTCACAGTTGCTAGGTGACATGACGTACGCCGGGGTAAGGAGGGGAGGCTAGACCGTCCAAATTCATAGCCTCTTTTTTTCCGGTCTTTCCGGTCTACCAAGGACCCGGCCCGCCTTGACCGGGTAGTCTGGGTCCTCCAGAGGACCCGGCCTGTCGTTTTGGACACAGCCATAATCTGTGACCAGCTGAGGGGATCGGGCAGTCTCAATGGTTACTGAATGATGCACAAGAAAACCATAAACTCGCTATCTTGAGAAAACCATTGGTAAATTAACTTGTTATCTCGAGAAAAGAGTCCTCGTTTTTTCCCCTGGGAAAAAATTACATGCGGAAAACAGCCGCTCTTGGCTTCCGTATGTTCCTCCTGCCGAGTGACAAAAACGGCGTAAACATTCATCTGCTCTCCTGTCACTATTCCCTCCAATGACAGCAGTCGTGTACAGTGACCCCAGTCAGAACTCTGCGATGCGGACCTTGCGACTTGGGGTGTGTGATTAGTTAGAACTTTGTGGGTGTGTTTGTTCATGAGGAGCAGGCTGTGGTCCAGAGATAACGAGCGCCTCAGTGCTGCCGCTGAGCTGGGCTCAGCGCAGATCTTCCTTCTGTACATTATTTTGTTTAAAACGATTTTTTGTCTGAAGCCAGTTGTTAAAAGAGCTAGAAGAGCAGATGATTTGATCCTATTGGACGTGAGCATGCAACTGATTTTCACGTTTTTTTTCCCATCACCACGGTTAACAAAAACAAAAAACAGTTTTTCCTCCGCAAACTTTTTACCCAACACAACACTGATTGTTGAGTGAAAAAACACACAATATTCAGCCATCATTATTGTTGTTTATAAACTTATATAGGCCGTCTTTAAGCTTTTCTGTCGCAGCAGGGGGAACAAGATGTGCTTTAGTCCAGCCCCTAAAGCCTTGATCTTGTCTCAGTCTCGATACACTCTGCTCTTGGTCTCAGGTAAGGTGGTCTTAACTACAACACTAGCTGTAACTGTCATTTTTACAGATACTGAGCTAAAATTTGTCGTGGCAGCAGCTGGAAGTCCTTTGAAATAAATACCCTAAGTCAGGGGTGACCAAACATTTTCTCTGAAAGGGCCAAAATTTAAATCAATCTGAGGGGGGTGGGCCAAATGCAGTAATATAATATATTATATTACTGCATTTATATAATATAATATATTATATTACTGCATTTAGCCCACCCCCCACGAAATGCAAAATATTTCAAGGAAAGTTGTATTTTCATGATTAAGCTGCAGCCAGTGCAGTTGCCCACATTTTTTTCTAGCCCATGGACATGGAG